ATACAGTCCTTCAAAACACACACACACACACACACACACACACACACACAAACACACACACTTGTGGCCTGATGGCTTTCTTTTTGAAGAATGTAATGCTGTTTTCAGAATGGGAATATTTCTAGAAATGGATACCACCCCCCAGTGGAAGTATTGCAGAGTCCAACCTCCTGACCCACCCATTTCTTCCCACCCAAGATTCCTCTTGGCAGGGTCTGAAAGCATTTTTTTCAATATCACTCTCACCCTTATAGTGCATAAGGAATCTGGAAAAATCCCCCATTAGTTTTGATTATTTTACACCAAATTACAATTTATCAAGTGGTTTAGTTCTGTCACCCGTGGCTTGAGTGGTGCAGTGGGTTTTAAAAAATCATGCTACCTATGTTAATTAGTGGATCAATGCCAGGTTGTTTGTGTTATTGCCTGCACATTAATTGTGAATGTTAAGTGTTAATAAAGTAATTGTCACTGTTTGTACTTTCTGTGTTTCATTATTCCTGCCTATATAGCTATCTCCCATGAAAACACTTCATGCATCTGATGAAGTAGGTTCTAGTCTGATGAAGTGGACCATAATACTTGTTAGCAAAGTGACTTGAATGAAGCAGAGTCTAGAGAGAAAAAGATACCGGTAATACTTCACTGAGGGAAACTGAACAAAACAGTGTACAGGTGAAATAATTAGAGAGGTTTTGTCTTTTAGGGCAGGTCTTGCTTTAATTTACTGAAATTGGGAATGATTAAATGCATTACTGTGTGTTTAATTTTGGAATGTTCCCCAGCAACCTCTGCTTATAAACCTCCAAGGAAGGAGAGTCCACCACCTTCCAGTGGAGTCTGTTCCACTGTTGAACAGCTCTCATTGTCAGAAAGTTCTTCCTGATGTTTAGTCAGAATGTCCTTTTTTGTAACTTGAATCCATTGGTACAAGTCCTATCTTTGGGAGCAGAAGAAAACAAGCTTGCTCTGTCTTCCATGAGACAGCCCTTGCGATATTTGAAGATAGCTATCATATCTCCTCTCAGTCTCCTCTTTTCCAGGCTAAACATACCCAACTCCCTCAACTGTTCTTCATAAGGCTTGGTTTCCAGACCTTTGGTCATATGACCCCCCCCCCGGCACACATTCTAGCTTGCCAATATCCTTAAATTGTGATGCCCAGAACTGGCCACAGTACTCCAAGTGTGGTCTGACCAAGGCAGAACAGAGTGGGACTATTACTTCCCTTGATCTGGACATTATACTTCTGTTGATGCAGCCTAGAATAGCATTAGCATTTTTTGCTGCTGTATCACACTGTTGACTCATGTCAAGCTTGTCTACTAAGAGCCCTTAGCTCGTTTTCACATGGATTACTAGCAAGATAGCTCTGTATTGTCTACACCACTCTTTCCCAACCTTGGATCCCCAGATGTTGTTGGACTACCACCACCACTAGCTAGCAGGACCAGTGGTGACAGGTGATGGGGGCTGTAGTCCAACAACATCTGCAGGTTCAAGGTTGGGACAGGCTGGTCTACACTGATTGCCAGCAATTCTCCAGGATTTCAGATGGGGCACATTCTCAGCCCTATTCTGCATCCAAAGTGGATGCTCTACCATAGCACTCTGTGCAGATCCCTACCTGAAAAGGGATGGCCACATGTGAACAGTTGCTCATACATAGCTGCCCCCTTTCAGAATTCTGTGATCCATGTGTAGACTTCAAGGGTAGGGCATGCACAGCTCACAATGTTGAGGGTAGAGATGGGAGGTCTGTTTCTACTCTGCCCTCCATGTGTTAGCTCTATGTATGGAAATCACCTCTGAATATTTTTAATCTTTTTGCATTTATATTCTGCTTTTCTTCCAACAGAGAACCCAAAGAAGCACACACATGGTTCCTAGATGGTCTCCCACTGACTAGACCCATGAACATCGCGGACCTCATGCCATCAGACCATATCCAGCAATTAGGTTTAGCAATTCAGTCTGCAATTTAACTAGAAATGCTGTAATTTGCATCTGGGGCCTCCTTCAAGTGAAAGATGTGTATTTCCACTGAACGATCTACCCCTCGAGAATCATAAGCATACAGGTTGAAAAGTACCTTGTACCTTAAAAAGTACCTTGCTGAGCATTATACAGATAGAATACTATTGCTATTAAGTAATTGGAATCCCTTTGTTGGTGACTGAGATGAGACCCAAATTCTTGGGGGGGTGTGTCACTGTTTATACAGAAAAAAACATGTCCTTCTTACAAGTGCATAAGAAGAGCCGAAAAGTTCTGGTCCCGCACCACGGCAGAGGATCTTTCAACATCAGAGAGAGGCACAGGTAGAGAAAAAGGGAATGGAAGGGGTTAAATCATTCCCTAGAAACCTCTCAGGGTACAGGAGGCACTGGCGACCTATCATAGGTCACTTGAATGGCTCACTCCTGCATGGATCAGCATGGGGGTGGGCAGAGGCACTCAGTTCTATACATGAAACTGAGGTTTGAAATTGGGAGAAGATGCAAGGGCTCTTTGGATGTTGGAGGAGGAATGGCCCTCTCTTCTCCCTCCCTTCCCAGAATCTCTGGAACTTGCTGATTCAGCCTACTAGTGGAAGGGAGGGATCTGTTGTTGTCATTTGGAACTGCTTGAGCATTATGGGATGGAGCTGAGGAGGAGGAGGAGGAGGAGGAGGAGGAGGAGGGTAAACCTTGAATCTGCAGCTCTGCCCCAACCAGGCTGGAATAACAACAACAGTGGGAGCAAGGAGTTAGTCCAAAATGCCACAGGAAAAAGAAAACATCAGAGACAGACATATAAGGCCAAGAGATTGACAACTGATTTTTGGATGTGGCACACGCAGGTTGAAAAGGAAAAATATATTGTTTCTCACTTGGAAGTATAATAGAAAGTTAAATAATATAATAGCATGAATACAGCTGTTGACTATGTGATGAAATGTAATGTAATAGAAGTAAATAAGAATATGAAACACAGTAATATTAGATCATAAAGATGCATTAAAAACAGTGTGTGGGAAACCGCTTAAACGAAATTTTATTAATTTGGAATTAATTTGTATAACTGGGTTAAAATAGGATAATCAATAAAAATAACTGGCAAAACAACAACAACTGAGAAGCTTCTAGCCTAGATTGAGTTGAAAAATACCCAACAATATCATTGCAAAAAGCATGTCAGTGGCAGCACAGACCATAACTGCATTTGTGTTATGTATCTGCAATGGTAGTTGCCTATGGTCATCACGCTTCAAATTTCAAATTGCTAAAATGACTTGTCAACAGTATACAATGGGACAGAGATGCTTGTTGATAGGTGCCTTCTATGCCCTGTTCTGAATTCTCATGCAAGAATGAATTGCAAAGGCATCATGAGATCTGTCATGTAATCACTGAGCTTCTTTAGGTAAAAGCCTAAGAATAGAGAAGGCCTAAATTAACCTTCGTCAGAGTACTGCTCAACTAACCACTTTCACTTTATCTGGGGTTTTTTTTATTGCAGACCACCCTTCATCACATCAACATGATATCAGGGTGGTTTCCAACAATGCACAGTTTCACTGAATAATCTGAAACCTGTTCAAACACACCTGAGCAGGTACACCTAATTCTGTGTTAGACTGTAGCTGATGTGTTCACAATTACAGACATGCCCAGAATCAGCAGCACATCAACAGGTATTTTCATTAGGGTTCAAAGCTCTAAAAGATGCAGGCCCCAAATATATGAAACGCCACCTCCTTCCCTAAAACCTATATTGAGTTTGGCAGGTAGGGCCCTCTTAGTAGTTCTGCCTCCCTCAGATGTTCAGGGGTTGGCAGCCTAGAAGAGGGCATTTTCTGTGGCAGCTGTGGAATTTCATCACCCCACAGGAGCACCTGACCCTTTCAATGTACGGCACTCATCATACGCTGAAGACACGCCTCCTTGCCCGGGCCTTTGGTAGCCAAGATACAGTGGTACCTCAGGTTACAGATGCTTCAGGTTACAGACGCTTCAGATTACAGACTCCGCTAACCTGGAAGTAGTACCTCGGGTTAAGAACTTTGCTTCAGGATGAGAACAGAAATGGTGCAGCGGTGGCGCAGCGGCAGCAGGAGGCCCCATTAGCTAAAGTGGTACCTCAGGTTAAGAACAGTTTCAGGTTAAGAACGGACCTCCAGAGTGAATTAAGTTCTTAAACCAAGGTACCACTGTAGTAATTTGGGAATCCACTCTGTTCTTTGGATAGTAAATAGTGAATTGTTTTACCTGATTTCAATATTGTGTTTATATGTTGTTGTAACCTATCCTATTACCTTCTGGTGAAGGGCAGGTAAGACTTCCAAACTGTCCATTAAAAATAAAAGTAACAACATGCATTCTACATCTAAGTATTTTACATGCTGCATTTTACAGCTGTTTTGGGGGGGGGGAGGGTTCTTCTGCTTTGTTTTGCTTTTATGTATAGTGTATTTATTTTCAGGTTTTTAACATGTTGTAGGTTACTTGCAAACCTTCGGTTAACATGCAAGTAACCAATCTAATACTAATACCAATACTAATAGGGAAATAATAATAGAATAATGGAACTATATATGGAAACAGTGTTCAAAACTCCCATTGTTCTAGGTGCATGTTGTGATAAGGAATTCCATTAGTGCAAGTAGTCTGAGTAGAAGGAAAGGGGGACCTTTTTCTGCCTCCCTACTTCCAGCTACTCTCTGAAGACTGGAGAAGAGACCCTCTTAAGAATATTAGTGGGGTGGGCAGGGCTAGACCATGTGAAAAATGAACATAATATTATAGCTGCAGTTCATTCATTTCCAGCTTTGTGTTCTTGTTATTAAAAAAGCATGCCTAGACATTCCGTTGTTGCGCCCATAACCTAGGTTTAAGGTGTCATTTAGCTCCTAGCTTTCATATCTCAGTTTTTAACACTGGTTGGAAAGTATCCCAAGGGTCATCTAGTCAACCCCCTGCAATGCAGGAAATGCAGCTAATTGTAATGTAATGGTTTATAAGGCTCAGTTGGTAGAGCAGGAGACTCTGACTCTCAGGGCCTGTGGGTTTGAGTCCCATGTTCGGTGAAAGATTCCTGCACTGCAGGTGGTTGGACTAGATGATCCTTGTGATCTCTCCGAACTTGATGATTCTATGATTCTTTACATTACATTACATTACATTACATTACATTACATTACATTACATTACATTACATGTAAAACAAACATTTTTTAGCTTGACTCTGGGATATTTGGGGGGAGGCGGGGTAAAAGGTTACACAAAAGTGCACCCGTCTCCATTTTGTTTTGTTTGTCGCTGTTGGCTATTTGTATGGTCCTGGCAGCAATTTTTGGACTTTCCATTGCTGCTGGGTGCCATTTCTCCATTAGTCCAGTGTGGTGTAGTGGTTAAGAGCAGTGGACTCGTAATCTGGTGAACTGGGTTCACTTCCCCGCTCCTCCACATGCAGCTGCTGGGTGACCTTGGGCTAGTCTCACTTCTCTGAAGTCTCTCAGCCCCACTCACCCCACAGAGTGTTTGTTGTGGGGGAGGAAGGGAAAGGAGAATGTTAGCCGCTTTGAGACTCCTTCGGGTAGTGATAAAGCAGGATATCAAATCCAAACTCCTCCTCCTCCTTTCAGAAGACACTGGGGGCAGGAGGGACAAACCATTACTTCCTGCTCCTGCTCTCACTCCAAGATTTCATGATATCATATTAATCAGTGCTGCACCAACTTTAAACTTTATGGAGTGGATGGCATAGCTAGGTGCGTGGGCGGTCAGTTTCATTACATCTCAGTACTAATTTCCTGTGAGGCAGATAGATGCTATTATATTCACACAAACAGAGAAAGGCTTGTAGAAGTGCTCTAACTACAACAGCCATAGCCAATACAGTACCCTCTTGATATTGCTGGCCTCCAGCTCCCATCATCCCTGACCATTTGCCATGCTGCCTTAAGCTGATGGGAGTTGTGCTCCAACAACAACTGGAGGCTGTGCCTCATTGACTACTCCGAAGCTGCAGGATAACCTGGAAGACAGGAGTGTCAATGAAAGTGGCACAGAAGCTTCTACCTGTACAAAGTTGTCTAGAGAGTGTCCTAGGTCAATAGTAAATTTCATTCCAGGTCTGCATATTCTGGAGATAAAATAGCCTTCACATGACAAATTATTGCAGACAAGGAGGCAATGTGTCAGATTTGGGAATTTCTTTATCATCTGTAAACTGAATGATGGTTGAACAGCATGACACCAGCTCTGACCATGAGTTATGACTGACCTTCAGTTATTGATAAATAACAATCAGCTCTGTCCATATGTGATACACACACAAGCGCAAAGATTCAGTTAAACACCTGTGTCAGAATCCTCATAGTAATGTGCTGGAACACTGTCACCTTGTGGTTGCTTGGAGACATTAAAGCCAGCCAGCCAAGGCTCTCTTGTATGTGCCAGAGGATATTAACTATTTTAGCACCTGACAGGGTTATCAAACGCCTGTTACTGTACCTTCAGCAAAACTGAATATACTCCTTTATAATTCAGCAAGCAAGCACCAGGCACAGCCTTAAAAGGGTTAAACAAGACTTCTGATAATTCTGCAAGCATATGTCAGAAAATAAAACACATGTTAGAGGATAAATTCAATCCACATTTAAGGCAAACCTACCCAATTCACAGACTCTGAAACAAATACAAGAACCGGAATCCAGCCATTTTTGACACCTGCACTTCCCCAAACTTTGCAGTGCAGTTCTCCAGCTAAGTAATGTGTACAAAAATGCATATACTGGGGTAAAGTGCCCACAAAAATGCACATATTTGTAAAAATAGCATACAGAAATGCATTATTTAATGGGGAAATCACTTTAAAAAAAAATGTATATTAGATCAAATTGCATACATGTGGATGTAAGAAGAAATTCGCACTAAAATGGTGATGAATTTTCTGCAGAAATTTGCAAACTAATGTGGAAATGTAGGGAACTGAAATTGAGATTGGAAAAATGAGAAAGTGAGAAAACCCAATACTGTCCATGCCTAGGAGACAATTTAGCAAATGAATCATCATCATCCCTTGATATTCAAAATCCTATCTGCCAGATTAGTGTCGCTGAATAGTGCTGAGTCCCTCTTGCAGGATAGGGGGAAATTTAGCCCTCAAGAACTATGCTGGAAGAAAGTCGACATATTTGGCATCCTTTTTCTTGTTAGCAGAGAGTCAAGAGACATTGCATTGCACAGAGTGGGAAGCTAATGGATGATAATTAACCACCAATTGACAAAGGACATATTTACTGTAATTTAACAGCTTTGCAAATAGATATAAAACCACTGTACACATGTTTAAACCTTAATAAATATATTTGCAGTCTTCCAGCCGCCTAAGTTGGTATTCAGGCTGCCTTGCTCCTGTTAATTCCAATGGAACACATTTGGTTGCAAAAGTTATTGCACATTAATTAAACATTTGTTCATTACAGAAAACAAATAGGCTGATGTTAAATGACCATTTCCGTCAATTGCAGTTTTGTGTATGGCAGTTAAAGGGCTGCTTTGCATTCTAAGGAAAACACAGATCCACCCTCCCCATTTCTACACATTTGACCCTATGCCAAAAGAATCCAAATTGTTGCTGTTTGGATATGTCACTGTCCTACAGCAGTTGAACAAACATGAGAGAGATAACTGGTACAGAATGAGGTCCATTTCTGCAACTAGAATAATCAGTCCATTTCTGTAACAAGAAGCACTTACCAAAAGCTAGTGGTGGAGCTGGGATTTGTACGCTATGACAGTTTTAAGAACTGAGCATTAAGTTTGGTGGGTTTTGTAAGGGTGGGAAGATGACAAAGAGCAGGAAGATGACAAATGAGATGCTGAGGTGCATGCTGACACTATGATTACATCACTCCCCCTCTTTGCAATTACTGGCTTCTTGGCCCTTTCTGTACGAAGTGTCTGCTTTAAATTTGCCTCTTGCTTGACTAAGGACGTTTCAAGAACTAGCAGGAAAGGGGTTAACAAATGGCAAAGATGCAAGTAAAGTCCTAAGTAAATGTGGCATTTTCAAGGTTTGCAAAAGACAAATGATGGGGGTTGGGGAATGCAGCTTAGATTCAGGATAATAAAATGTACAGTGGTACCTCGGGTTACATACGCTTCAGGTTACAGATGCTTCAGGTTAAAGACTCCACTAACCCAGAAATATTACCTCGGGTTAAGAACTTTGCTTCAGGATGAGAACAGAAATCGTGCTCCGGTGGCGCAGCGGCAGCAGGAGGCCCCATTAGCTAAAGTGGTGCTTCAGGTTAAGAACAGTTTCAGGTTAAGAACAGACCTCCAGAACGAATTAAATACTTAACACGAGGTACCCGAGGTACCACTGTATTCTGTTCACACACTATACAACAATATCCAGGGGAGTATACTAATAGCAGTCACAAATAATAGTTTCTCTAACTGAGTGCCCTGCTCCTATTTGCTAAAAAAACAAAAAACAAACCACAACTTTTAATCATATAGGATGCTGAGGCAGTACTCCCTAATTCCATCCTCTGGCAATTTTAAACATTAGGCACACTTGCTGATACTTATAGTTGAATACAATCCTAACACATATAGCTGGCCTGTTTGCACTCTCTTTCTTTGCTTGGAATTCTGTTGTAATATTTATACCTTACTGTATCTAGTGGCAGAGAGTTCTGCATGGTAATTATAGAGTGAAAAAGCCTTTAAGCCTGCTACCTGTTCCTTTCATTAGGCGTCCAGGTGTTTTCTACTCACTTTCTCTAAAACCAGTGGTTTAAATAACTTCACTTGTGCTATAAAACACAATCCCAATCCAGTTATAAATTTTTCCTTCACAAACTCTTTCTTTGCAATTTGCCTTGAGCAGGAAATCTTCCATTACTTTATTTGCGCTCTCTCTTTTTTAAGAAGTCAGGTGAGTCTTTTTTTCTTTTAGATTTTCCTTATATGGAATAGAACACATTTAATATTCCTAACATATAATATATAATTTCATTTACGTATGTGTGTGCCTCTGAACTTTTCCCACTTCAAATCAAACTTTTTTTGGGCATGAGACAACCAAAGTAGCAGATAGGGTACTCAAGAGGGGAATCCACCATTGATCTCTAGAGGGGCACTATGATACTTTCTGCTTGTATTTCAGTTATTTGTTCCTGTTATTTTTCCTGACAATAGCCTCTGATGATTTGTTTGTCTTCTGAAGCAACAGGACATCAAGCTGCTGCTTGCAAGTTCTCCACATCAACTTGAAGACCTGAAGGACTTTTAGCATGCATAAAGAAAACTGCCTGTTGGAATGTTTTATTGTTTCCTTTGGGGAACAGGAGGCCAGCACAACTGCCAGACCAAATAATGTGGAGGATCCAAAGCCATAACTTCCATAGCACACTCTTTAATGTGGCCAACAGAGATATGATTTATGCAGGTGGGGGGGGGGGAGCACTATTGAGTTGGCAAATGTTTCATGCATCTCATCACAGCCTGGCACATATTCAGCTACCATCTCAAAAAACATTCACATGAAATACTGAAAACTCTGCTAACACCAAGGAGAGATGAAAGAATGAAAAAAGGCCCTTAGGTGTCCAAGGAAAGAACAAGAATAGCCGTGCTGCTGTTGCCTATAACCCTAGTTACCAGTCAGTAACATGATAAATAGCTCTCCTTTTGCTGGGGGGTATGAGAAGAAGACTTTTCTTATATGAATGAACTTATCACCAGGATGAGTTAATCTATGGACTAGAATTGGAAAGAGGTAGGTTGTTTTTTCGACAGGGAGCCAACACAAAGTACCACAATCTAGTGCTAAAAACAGAAAATCTGATGAAGACATTTTACTCAGGCGGAGAACCCCATCTATCAAAATAAGTTATACGTGGGAACACAAAACTGTTGGAAGGTGATGTTGATAGCATTTGGTTTTGACAGGAAAACTCTGCTCATTGGATCAAGGTGGATAATTATATTTACTTGTGACAGGGAAATCTCCATAACTGAGAACATGCTAGAAGCATTCTTGAGAACATGCTTTGGACTAGAAGGTGAT